CCCAAGTAATTTTTCTGATTTATACAGTGCAATTGTTAAGGCTAAAGAACAAATTGAAAGTGTGAATTATGAAATTATTATATGCTATTTTGCTTTTGGAAAAAAGTTTAAGGAAAGATTAGCTGAGTATATGAAAGATAATAAAGAGCATAGATCTCAGAGAAAACTTTATAAAGAAGTTAAAAAACAGCTCCTATCTAATCTCTCGAAAAATGCAATTGAGAAAAGAATAGAAAGAGCAAGGAAAATTTATAACCTTTTTAGTAGCATAGGTGAGGATAAAATATAATAGATAAGATCTTATTCGGCATTGAAAATTTCTAAATTAAGTTGGGACGAAATTGATGCTATAGAAGAGGAGTTTGAATGAGATTGTCATTACTGCGCCACAATCACATGACTTTGGTTGACCGATCGGTCAGTGAAACCAGAACAGCTAAAATACATTAAGTCACCAAAATTAATAAAAATTTTGTTTTAACATTAAGTATTGATTATATCAAAATTATATAGTTTTTTGTTGTGTAAAACCCAGCAAAAGATAAAAAGATAAAATTGGTTGCAAAAATTTACTCGCAAAATAAAATTATAACCCTACTATATCATATATTATAATTTATTTTTGACTTATTGTACAACCTATGTTATGACTCTATGCATAATTTATTTATGATATGGGGCATAGGTATAAAGTGCTATTTTTTAAAATAATAGATCATAACACATTGATTTTTTGCAAAGAAATTTTAGTTACGTAAATATATCAAAATGAAAAATCAGAATACATATAAAAACAGGAAAAATTACATCAAAAAGTGGCATATCTTTAGAGGCTGGAAGCACGAGTATAAGATTTGTGATGAATGCGATCACTATTCATATCTATATTATAAGACATGCAAAAAAGTAGCAGAGGGAATATATAAGCGATATGAATATAAAAATTTTGAAAGAGATCCTCTAATAATTAAATAACAATAAATTAATGATTTGGTAATAACTTTTCAGGCATAAAGTTTAATGATTATTTGTTCGTGTAACAAGATATTTCAATAATATATAACATAAATTCTGCAAAAATTATTTGTATCATCTTACAAAGCTTATTGTTATTGTGAGACGGGAAACGAGTACAAAGTGTCATTTTTCTGGAATTACAGAATTAGCATTAGCATTAGTACTCTAACCAAATTTGGTCAATCAGCTCATGACACAATAAAAATAGACGAATTTGAGTATTTTGTTCAACCATTTATATAGTTAAAAAAACAAATAATAATAATAATAACCATATTCCAGCTTTGATTACTGGTACTTATATGTTATAATTACATATTCCGTTGTTTGTGTTCTGCTATATATTTTTTTCTCAACTACTGTTATAAATACCCGTTGCAAGACTCTATAGCTGAAACTGAGGACTACTTGCAAATTATTCTGCCAGAATTGTAGAGCCTTAACGGATTTGCTGATTGGTGTATTTCATGTGAAAGATTTGAAAATAACAAAATGAAGATTTTAGACTATATCAAAAAAGGATTAAAAAAGATAATCGACAACACTACATTTGAGAAAGATATAAGGCAAAAAGCATCTGATTTACGTAAAGAATTTCAGGTTACGTATTATGAATAGGTGAATTTTCTTAGGATAAGATTGTGTGATCATGAAATAACTATTCGTTGTTTCTGTTAATACAAATCTGAAGAGGTAATGAGGATGTTGAACTGAGCCAGGGGACTATTCGTCAACTGGAAGATCGACTATTCGTCTGTCCTTCTCTCTGGCCTCCTGTAACACATAGGAGAACTATTCGTTGTCTTGTATTGAACTATTCATTCATCATGGC